AACCCCCCCTCCCCCCGTCACACACACAAACACACAAACAAACACACACACACAAACACACAAACAGACAAACAAACACACAAAGAGACAAACAGACACACACAGTTTTTTTTTTAGAGCGCAGCTCTTAGGCGCACCTTTCCGGCTCGAGCGGGTCGCCTCCACCGTCGGCGTAACAGCGCGTTGCATTGGGGGATGTTTCCCATTATGACGTCACACGTGACGCCACTCAACCGGGGAAAAGTAATTTAGCGGGGAAATTTCTAAATTAAATTTAAAGGAAAAATTTCGCGGGAAAATTTCCCCCCTAAGTTAGCAGAAACATTTGCCGCCAAATTTAGCGGGAAAAATCATACCCTCGTGACGTCAGCCGTGATGTCACGTGTGACGTCACGAAGGTAAAATTGTCCCGCTAAATTTGGTGGGAAATTTTTCCGCTAGATTTAACAGGGACAGTTTTCCGATAGGTTTCGCCGGAAAATTTTACCTCGTGACGTCAGACGGGACGTCACGTGTGACGTCACGAGGGTAGAAGTTTTTCACTAAATCTAGCGTACAATATTTCCCGTCAATTTAGCGGGAATATTTTGCCCTCGTCACGTCACACGTGAACCCCTCTCCATACCCTCCCCTCCTCCTCCTCAAGAGCTGCGCTCTAACTCGGTACTACAAAGAATTGTAAACGTCTTTAATTTTTTTTTTGCATGTGCTATGTAGGATTTGAAACTTTGAGACATGACTACTGGAAATTAATGGTGAGGTCAGACACCGCTACTGCAGAACAGAACTATATGTGAAACGTGTGAATAATATCGTCATGGTAAGGAAGCACATTTAGAATCAGAAGTAACAAATTACCCAGATGGGTATTTCTCACGCCAAATCGCGATGAAGCGGGGAACATCTTTCTGTGAACTGATATTGTCTAAAAAAAACCAAGTGTGCAAGGGAGCTGATGATAGTTAATCGTTTTGTGTAAAAGGCGAGACTGGCGAGAGAAAAAAGTTCAAAAAATGACACAGACTGACAGCTGAAAAAAAAGAAATAAACGGGGGGTATTTGTGACACGGGCGAACGATTGGTTGGCATTCGTTGTTGCATAAACGCTATGATGTCTTTATTTTAAGTAATCCTTCTTTCATCGACGGCAACAAGACCAATGTCAGACTGTCAACCTGTATGGTGTTATTTCAAAAATGCGATGACTCTAAGCTTCTATCATGCTTTTACAAATACCAGAGAACTAATTTTTCAACTGATAATAAGTAGCCAAGATTTCAACTCGTGACGCGAATCCTGGTCGTGACATCACGAACGGATACCATAAGGGAGCACCACCGAAACATTTCTGCGGTAATAGTCCGTCTAAGAAAAAAATATATTTCTTTTTATTGCTATTTTATTTCTTTACTGTTTATGGACTAATAAATCAATCGCATTACAGTGCCATTCATGGGTCTTCTTATTTTAGCGGTGTTTTATTGTGGAGTTAGCGAAACGGATAGAAAATATGTTTTTATCGGGAACCGAAAGCTCGGCTGTGATGTTTCTGCATAAAATATTACTGTGCGTTTGTTAAATATGAGTGTCACTTTTCGCACACCTTTTGGGCGGCAGTGCAACACATGTACTGTGCAAATTTTACTGTATCAAATAACCTTATGTTATGCCCAACGATCGGGGAACCCTTGACTGGCAAGCTTGTAGCTTGACACAACTTTTCTTTTTTCAAGCGAAAGTGAAAGTGTATGCCTGACGCTCTGAACGTTGTTCATTTTATTTAGAGGGCAATATATTCCTCTGTTCCTTTTAGAAAACAAACATAACCAGCCTAGTACAGCAGTTCAGCTGGGCATGACTCCTTGAATGCTACTTCTATCGTTAGAGGGCTCTCTAACAATCAAAACATTATCACTGTAATGCGTAGCTCATGTGCACTCCAAGGCTGTAGTGTTTGCGTTCTAAAAAGTTTATAGAGCAGAGAAATGTATACACCTACATAGAAGAAATACAACATTGTTTCATTATCTGTGACGCTTCGGGCATACCAATTACAGAGGTGTAGGGATTCAAAAAAATACATTAAAAAATGTAATGCAGGAACTATTTTTTTTGCAAAATATGTAATTCTGCAACAACACTTATTAATACGTGTGAATTATAGACATTGGAAAAACAGCCAGTTTTAACTATATAGGTGTAGTGAAGTTTAATATGTACTAGTGGCTGCAGCAGCTACTGCTCCAAAGCATACATCTCAAACAAATGACATCTTGCAGGTGTGTTCGCCAAGAACACATTTTGGTCATTTACTTCGATTTTTTTACATGGACAAGGCTATCACGCATAGCGCCTGTACTTGCGTTATCAGCATTATCGATCCTTGGTGGGTGGAGAATTTGACCAAGGCTGCATCCTGAGGCACGTTAAAATCGACGTACTATACCCTGGCGTCTATATATCTTTTTGTGTGCGCTGCGGTGTTAACATTTGCGTAGTTTGCACAGTTCTTCCACATTGTGTACACGGCTCTTCCACAGAGCACGTGTTAAAAAAAAAACACAACACTTGCCTGCGCAGCCAACCTGACAACACTACATACACCAAGAAAAAAACATTTGAACACCAAGAATATTATCATGCGAAGCGACATCACCCCTTCAACGTTAAAAAAAAATCGTATAATATCATAGAAGCCCCAAGTATAAATTAAATGGCACTTATTTGGTATCAGCAAAGGGTTTACATAATGTTTCTCTCAGAGAATCCCATGTTTAAGCTATGGTGGAAGTCACAAACGTTGACACTGCGGGTTCTGGAGCAATTCCGACCTGTGGTACGTCGGTGCTGTTTATCTCTTGCGTTGCAGAAAAGAGCAACAGAGCTCGATAGAAATTTGTTTGGAGCCATTGTTGACATATATATTTTCTTAACGAATACTTTGAAATTGCACAGATATCTAAATTTTGATTGGTGTCGATTTCTAGCCACAATCAACATATATTTCCATAATGAAATATACTGCACAATATCATTATTGAGAGCCAACACATTCTCATATGCTAATCTGCAAATGAGTTTGTTCGCCGAAATATGGTTTCACATAACATAAAAATTCATTACGCAAAGAAAAAAGGGCATCGTCGAATTATTGACGTTGATCATCCTCGAACGTGGCAGTGTTTCTTTTAGAATCATTACTCTATATTATTTGTCGAGCATACATAATACATTGAAAATGCAGATTAACCAAGATGTCTAAGTCCATACTTGTGTTCGTAAGGCGAGTGAGGGAAAATGCGCATTGCACCTAACTTTCATTTGATATCATTCCCATTCTGTTCGCCACCTCATCCAATAGCTTTATTGCAATCACCAAGATAATTGAAGTTCAGCTGCTCTCGATCTCTTTATATTCATCATTTTGAAGAAATACCAAACCAAAGGTTCGAAATACACCTGCACTTTTCCTGCAGGTGAGTTATAACAGGTTCTCCGTAATTTTTGTGATGAGCTAAATTACGCCCTTTCAGAAAAAGGTTACATGTATGAGAGGAGCCATCTCATTTGAACAGATCATTTCGTGATCATGAACTCAGGAGCAAGTAATCTATAGGCAGTCTTACTGAACGGGTTTAATTCTTTTTCAAAACAATTGATCTCAGAGCAGTTACCTTTCATTAAAAGTTTCAGTCACCCAACGAATTATGAGCGTTGCGAGTTGAAGTAACGCAAGCTTTTTTTTAAGGGCGGTACTTGAGGTTCAAGGTACTGAAAAATTGCGCCAGCACTAAGAAGCGCAGTATCACAAACTAAAACTAAAATGTGTCAGCTACACAGCTCAAACAATCTTCTAGACAAAATATAATATAAAGATTGGCACAAGGCTCAAAAAACAACGGACACAAGGAAGAAGACACACACAAGCTCTACTCACAACTATATTTTAATAGTGCAAAAAAGAAAGAAATAGATATCTCGTCAACCTCCTCACATCCACGCGTGCGCTTGGCCGGGGGTTACACGGTTTATCAGCCATTCACAGAAACTTAAAAAAAATCATATCTCCGCGTTATACAGTGCAATAGATGTATCGGTTACGGAGTGTGGGCCCCTTTTCCTGGTGAAGATGCTTCATTAACTCGCATGCTTTTCCTTACCCAGAATCGTTGTCTCAGAAAGGCGCGGCTCACACTTACATTTCATTTGCCTGAGAGGAAGAGGGGCGCACAATGCGTAAGCGAGACATCTGTTGCACTCTATAACGCGGAGATATTAATTTTTTTTTTTTACAAGTTTATGTGAATGGCTGATGAACTGTGTAACCCCCGGCCAAGCGCATGCGTGGACGTCTGAAGAATGACGAGGTATGCATTTCTTTTTTTTTTCTGCACTTTTCAAATGTGTGTGTGTTCTCTCTTGTGTCCGTTGTTTTTTGGGCCTTATAACATGCTTCATAAGGTTAACTAGCTAGCCCAACTACAATTTCTTCTAAAACAAAATAATTGGTAAAACTTGCAATCATGCCTACTAATGAAGATACCACCACCCGTGAGCCCATCGGTACACACGAAGCTGATGGCGAGCGGCGCAGCCGTATATCACACAAACATCGATGAAGCCCAGAACGAAAATTCAAACAAAACAAAAACGTCTTCGAAATCCACTTTTCAGTTCTGACCACTGTATTTATAAATTGAAGAATCATTTCCAGGTTGGTCTCTAATCCCACCGAAATTTGGTATGCAAGTTTAAGGGCGGTGGGGATCCGAGCTGGCTTCTGCTTTCCAGGCAAAAAAGAAATGATAAAAAAAAGTGAATTTGCATAACTGAAATATACAATTCGCATGCCTGTTTCTTCAAAAATTGAACGCATACACTTACACATGCCCAGGATGTAGCGAATAATGATCCTCCTTTGTGTAGCTACTCAAAACAGTTACCTAAAAAAAACGGGGAAAAAAACACAGACATGTAGATGGCAAGCAAACTATGCGTACCTGGTGAGGGGTAACGGGCACCCCCGGCGGCGTAGGCTCACCCCCTCTACTCGAGCGCTGCGCCAGGCCAGAGTCAGCAGAGATCCGTATCCTCCATCCGCATCAATTTCCAGCTCCCGCTGCATCCGAGGACGGAAACCACCCTAGGGCGGAGCAATGCTCCGCCCCCCCCCCCCTTTCCCCTTTTCCCTTCCATCCTTCCCCGTCCCCCTCCCCCCCTGTCAGGAGAGCGCGTGTCACATGATCAAAGCCTGGTGGCCAATCAGAACACAAAGGGCGGTGCCGTGCAGCAATCCAGGCTGATTCTAGGAGATGGGGGATAGAACGGAGACGAGAGAATTTGTGTCAATAAAGATGTGCGTTCCCTTCGTTCCGCGAGTAAAAATCGACGTCCGCCATTGCGATTATTTTTGTCATCCTTTCTGATCCCCTTTTATTATTTTTGTTTTTTTATTATCGTATTTATAAGACGGATCGTCGGTTCACCTTATTGTTGCGTGCTTAAAGGCGTCTGTGAAGATGGAGGTAACGCGTAGAGCTAGGTTCGTGGAAGAGGGGGATTAATCAGAAGAAATAAAACAGCGAAAAAAATACGCAAGGACAAGTGGAAGACATGCCAAAATGACAGCTCTGACTGAGACATCTTTACAAATGAAAGTCTCCTAGAAACTGTGTTTTTGGACGAGTCGGGGTTTTATTTATTTCTTTTTATGACAAAGGAGAAAGGTTAAGATACACAATCGAGTATGAGGTTTTGTCGTAAAATTGTGAACGCACAGGTGATCCCTTCCGACAACTTTCTTATAACGTTCTAGGGCAAAGACATTATTTGCGAAACATACGCTTTAACCTCCACTCGAAGCCTGAAAGCGTCAAGACAATCCTAGTTCAGTACTTTCGTAGGCTTTTGAGTGCTCTCCTCTTTCATTTAATAAAATATAGCGTATTTTCCGGGCTATCGTCCGCAGGAACCAATTTAGGCCGAAAGAAAAAAGTTTTGCTTAGATAGTCCGCATGCCGAGCATAGTCGGCACCTGGTCCTTAGTCGACACCAAAAACTTGTTATACACGGCACACCTTGAGGAATGTCTTCTTCCTTAGCTAACAAAAATGCTTATGTTATACATAAATCATCATTAACTTACTCTTTAATTCACAAAATCCGTCACGTCTTGTAATAATGAACGGTATTTAAAAAGAAAATTCCTGTATAGTCTGCACGCGCAGATATTCCGCCCAGCCTCAAATTTCAAGTTTCAAACATGTATAACCCGCGGATTAAAGCCTGCAAATTACGGCATTTTGTTAAAACAACCTCACCAAGCAAAACATACCCCTGCTTTAGATGTTCAGGCTTTTGCTAAAAGTGGCCAAACATATATGGTGGTGATCATTTTTTTATATATAAATATACATGGTGTTTCACGAAAGGTGGACCTATTCAATATTGCGAAAACTAATTATCACACCAAAAAGGCTTGCGTAGTTATGGTTATGGTGGAGAAATAGTGCAACCGGCCTCTGCTGCGTATGTCTAGCAAGTTTGCAAATCAAACCATGCTCTTAAACTCCATATTAAAAAAAATAATAATGACGAGAAAATAGTTAACAACTTAGTTATCTCGAACTTTAATAATTTTCTTAAATAGGCACCTGGCCTATAGGACCGAAACGACACAAGCCTTTTTTTGGTGTGATGGGTAGCTTTCGCAATATCGAATTTGTCTACCTTTCATGAAACACGCTGTATATTTACGTCAGGAACGTACAAATCAGGAAAGGGGTGTCGGCCATACTTCCACGTGATCAGATAAGTAAACAAATTACTTAGCTGCAAAAGTTATTTGGAACGTTGTTGGGGGCTGCCTACTACACTCGTTCTCTTCGGTCATTTCATCAGTGTTGTATAGCACAGTAACTGCTCGGCCTTGAGATGAAATGCGTACAACCATGGCTTCTTTGTACAGATTTTAATTTAGCGCGCGCTCTGAAAACCCAAGTGAGAACTAAAACAATTAGTAGCGCTGAAGCGGCCAATGAATCGGGCATTTCATGTGTGCGATAACTTGTTTTTGTTAACAACATTGTTTGACTCATGTTCGTGGTGACGTCCTGTAAGTTCCTGGCATGAATTTAAGCTTCTGTCGTTTTCAATCACTCCATTCTACAGTGCGAGTCAGACTGACCTGCACTGTAAAAAGGAGTCATTGAAAACGATACAGCCTCGAATTGATGCCTGGCACTTAGAGAACGTTTTAGAGAACGTGGGTCTAACGCGTTATCACTGAAAACAAATGGTCGAATACATGAGAGGCCCACTTTATTTGCCGCTACCGGGAGCTCATTATGGACCACTGCGTACGAAATAGCTATATTTCTAAAATAGTTTTGCATAAATAAGCTGTCAATTACTAATCATAACAAAATTACATGCAGCTTTCTTGGAGTAGTCAAAAAGTGCTATAACGTTGTGCGGAAATGTACACGCCCCACACAAACCTTTCCCACAGCTTTCAAACTAAAAAATTGGGGCTTGTATTTTGCATAAACCATACCTTCAGATCACCCTTTTTACCTGGATACGGGAATGCGGAGGCGATCTCGCCGCTTTACAAAGCCCCACGAAGGTAGAGGTCCTGCGTTTCTTCTTGCAGAGAAAGACAAAAAAGAAATCAGCTATCGTTCGAATTTCTTTAGAAGGGAGAAAAGCGCACGCGCAGCTTTAATCGACGCTTAAGGAGCGCGACCGAATGCGCTCCTTTGAATACAGCGCCACAGAAAGTTGCCCCATGCACAGTTTCGATTGCACCGAGAGCAGACGATCTGAACTGCATCTGAATTAGGAAAGGGTATTCCGATATTGTCACAATATTTTAGTGTCTAATAGAAAACACACACACGAGCAACGTGAGCGACCACACTGAACGACGTCACAACGGCGTCCTCTGGTTTGGGAAAGCCGAACTGGCACAAAAACGGGTTTAGAGAGACTGAAGCTAGATGGCGCAAGTCTCCAGAGTACGGGGATGGGAAAAATACTCCACTAGATTTCTCCTTTCGATAGACCGCATGGGGCGGGGTTCGTCCCAGTCAGTCTACACTCTAGAAAAAATAAAAGAAATAAAAAAAAAACGGGTGTAGGACTTTAAAGGCCGGTTCAGACACTTGCGTTTGAGTGCGTTTGACTGCGTTGCGTCGAGAACCGAAAGCGAGTCACCGGCACATCTGTGCTTCGTATGAAGCGTGCAATCCAATTCAAAGAATCATCTTAGCACGCGATATAAGTAGCAGGGATGTCCTGGTTTCTCGCTGCCGCAATGCAGTCAAACGCAGTCAAACGCAACTGTCTGAACCAGGCTTTAGACTTGTCACTGTGGACTCCCCCATAAGGAGGTAACTTTATCTCCTGTAATAGGGTTGCAACTTTACATCCTGGGTTAGGGGGTAACATCGCTCCCTTAAGAAGGTATTTTAGGCTCTGTTGGGGTAATGTCTTAAAAGGCTGTTTCCATCTCTTTTGGGCGGTAATTCACCATACGTTTCACCTCTTTTGGGGATTACCAGCAATTGCTTAAACGTACTGTATTTACCTCCTTCTAGGTGCAGCTTCAACCCCTTTTGGGGGACGAAGTCGCTGTGCCCTTTATGAAGATCACGTGACACTAACGAGGTATTAGATTGGCTTGATTGTTTCTTGGCGTTCTCTGGGGTCCATTGTAAAATGAAACGAAATATAGTTTGTTCCGACGCGAGTTCACTGGGAGTCTTAGCGGCGACGAAAGAACTTGATTCCAATTATGTGGAAAATGTTGAGAAATAAAATAATGTGCGGCAAGGATTGCTATCTTCCCTACACTGTGATCAAGATGTTGATCAAGTTGATCAAGATGTTAACTCAAATAACTCGTGCTGTAGTTGTCCTTCGAAACCTAGACGATAAGATTAGCCTTCTCCAATACTGGCAGCAGTGTCTGTCGCCATACTTGTAGCATCACAGCGCCGGCCAACTTTGTAGGGTTCCAAGTATGAATAGACATCTTAGCTCGTGCGATAAAGCTTTTGGACCAGCAGTACAATTGAAAACAGCTAGCATATGCGACACAAGAAACAGAAACATACAACACACCTTTATGTATTTTTTTAATTGAGAAAGTTTAGAGCACTCCAGACGGTTTGTTACACAATAATATGCAGTTCATAAGCGTTTCTGGATTAATTGGTGTTGAACTTAGAGGAACTATAGGAGCAAAAAGCAGCGCTCAACCAAGGATATATAATACAATGGTAAAAAAAAAAAGTATTCGTTGCTTAAAAAAAAGAAGAAAAAACAGTGTCGTACTTGGAGGCAACTTTCAGTGCCAATGCAGTCAAAGGTACGGGTACGCGTAGCCTCTCCCACACTGAGCGCCGATTAAAGCTGAGCACGCGCTCTCCTCCGCTCCTCGGAAATGCCGCAGAAGGTTGCCCCTAAGTATAGGTATGCGATACCGACCGGAAGGATTAAGGTTATATAGAAATAGTATGTACCTTGAAGTATGAGTCTACTACACCTAGGCCCTTATTGTAGTTTGTGCTACTTATGATAAAACAATTTAAGGTGTACTAACTCTCCCAAGTCCCGTGTCAAAAGTTCGTGTATTCTAAACTTGCTACAGCACATCTGCCTTTTTTCACAGCCTCAGAATTGTCAACACTGCGGGGAGCGGGGGGGGGGGGGGGGGGGAATGGCAGATAGGGAAATCAGCACCCCATAACTTGAGAAGTATGAACGCGACAAATATATTTTTATTTCTTGATGCAGTGGCACAATTTAGTCACTATAACAAAATATTTTAAAGAGGGAAACAAAGAAGGTATGACCAAATACTAGTAATTGTTTTTAAGTATCCTTCCAGTATGAAATACATCAAGGTAGCCAGCACATCGTTTGGCTTGTAACATTGTAACTTAACTAAAATATGAAGCTATTATTTGTAGGTAAACAGCATATAGTTCGTCTGCTCACCACTGCTAATAGGTCTTGCAGCGGTAAACACTACTTCTTTAGTATTTTTTAACATTTTTGTATATGCGCCTTTTTGTTTTGTTTTTTTA